AAAAAAAAAAAAAAACAAAAAATGCACTACATCATAATCATCAAGCAAGTCACAGCAAACAGGACTGTTTAAGGTAACAGCCAAAACAAAGAACTTAACACAAACACGATGCTTGTTCAACTAGGGATGCCGCAGGCCACATAGCTTCACAGATATCCTCGCCACTATCGAATTTCCTGTGGCAAACAACTCATACCAACACACATTTATGTGAGAAGGGAAACATTTCAGTACGCAGTACCTTTTAAAAAGTCTTCCTGAATCCCTGCTCGAACTCACTGACAGTTCAGCTGCGCGCTTTTTCTTTTGTTCCACTTGTAGCGATCGAACACCGGGCAATGGTGGAGAATATGCATGCCTTCTGCCAGAACAACGCTTCCTTTGCTCACGACTTCGAGGAAGACGTAAACGTAAGGGAGGAACACGACGTGGCTCTGCCAGTACGCTGACTGGTCGGCGTAGTGGTTCTGTGATTAGTTCACGACTGGTCGTATGTGATTCACAAGTTCGATCCACAAGTTCGTTTAAAACTGCCGCAAGCATATCATCTTGTTCTTCGTTCTAAGAAAAGCATTGAAATTTCAACAGTACACAAATTTCTGCCAAAAATTTTCAGCACTTTGAGATTTTCGCCAAAAATCTTCAGAACATTTTCCTGGTAATCAGCAACGAGAAGTATCGGGGAAAAAGGCTTGCAAATGACAGCTGTGCGCCACTTCTAAAACCAGGACAGTTCGAATCAGTAGACCCTTTCGTCATGCATGTATATTTGCAGGGAATGAGAAATGGTGGGGCAGGAGAAGACAAGAAATGACTTACCTATAACTTGTACAAGAGGTGCTTAGTTCAAAAATTGAAATTTTTACAGAAATTTATTAATGGAATAAAACGTACTTCGTCACTTTCAGGAGGACGTGCAAAAGCTTCACGTGAGTCCTCGTCATCAGCGATCTCCACGATTTGCAAACGATCATCATCCTGTAAAAATTAGGGAGTTTGTTTTGAAAAGTAAGAATCACAATATGAAGTGTGACATGTTTTCGTTTGCACAGGTTATGTTGAGTCTATTTTAGGAAGTCTGGGACAGAAATAAAGCAATCGATCAGAAATGAGTGTCACCCTATTATCAAAAGCGAAAAAAAAAAAAAAAAAATCAAAGGACCAAATTGAATTCCCAAAAACTGTGGGTTTAAAAGAACCCCAGAGCAGCGGTCAAGATGAAGAGCTCTAACAGCAATGTGCCATAAAAAGCTCTGGTGGGTGCAGCGAGGTGTGTAACAGTATGAAATTAGTACAGTTTTTGAGGGAAGCAGTAGGGCAG